CATTTAAGTAGGCTCTAAACGTGAATTTGGAGAATACTGGTAAACCACTGACTGCTGAGTAAAATATCTAGGGCATTTTCTCTCTCTTTTCTTTTTTGAGTCAATTAAATAAAAAAAAAGGAGTATTTGAAAGCTCTGGTTCAGAAAAAGGCTTAAGCAAACATTTGTCTTGTACATCATAGCAAAGATATGGATTCTACGAAGAGAAAATTAAGGAATGTGCACTGTATAAAGTGGTTGCATTAATGTAAACATCCAAAAGGTATACAATAAATTTAAGATGAAATTCATTTTGATGCACTGGACCAACACACACGATATTCTGAAGATTCACATGGAACAAAGGTATTTCCCAAGATTGCTGTAGGGTAATTAGTATCACATCTGTGCTTTCAGTACTATGATTCAATATAATATAGAAAATAATTAGCTCTAGCATTGACTATATATAAAACAAAGGAGGCTGCTTTGATACCATTTTGATTATACAGAATTATTTTATTTTAATGAAATGCTTATTAGACTTGAAAAAAAAAAAAAAAGGGCAGAAGAAAAGAAGACCTAAAACGCTTCCAAATCCATCTCTCTAGTTACAGGGAGATTCAAATCCTATGCAAAGGCTCCAGATCACCTCTTCTACAAATTAAAGGAATAATATTCCTTGTGTCAGATTCTCAGGCAAGATTCATTAAAGACATGCAGTACCGTAGGATGAAGAGCTCTATTTCTTGAAACCTCTGAATCTGTTATAGCTCCCAATGAATCAGAAATGGTTCAACGAAATTATCACTTACTGTTTGCTGTGCTGTTACTTTTATCTTCTGCTGCAAGGGATGTTTTTACTAGTGGTTTTGTTGTTGCAGCTGGTGTTGTTGTAGCTTGTGCTGTTGCAGCTTGTGTTGTTTGTTGTGTGTTTGATTTAACTGAAGAAAGGGTTAAGCCTAATAAAGGAAGGATATTAAAGTTATTTGGTTAATTTTTGCATACATATATATGTGCAACATACCTATAAGCCTGCTTACCACCTAATTAATCTTCAATTATCAGATGAATATTTAATTTAAATTGAAGATGAAAATAAAAAAGGCTCCCTTCACTGCAGAGAAACCACTCCCACATACAACAGATGGGTCATTCCACTGAAGACAAGTCTATTGTGATGCAGTCGTAAGACTTTGCTCTGTGACTGTCTTGAATCAGACAGAAGAGAGACACTGTGTATACTCAGAACATTTCACTATAGAATTCACTATCTGTAAAACAAATTTCCAGGTCAATAAGCACTGCTTCTTAAATTTCTGATTAGCATCTGATTCTTTCTTTTCTATATCCCCCTCCATACTGTTCTTCAGAAATGAATCAACAACTGGTTCAAGTAAATTTTCACTTACTGCTTGTTGAGGATTCATTTCCAGCTTCTCTCGCAACTGCTATCGATACTGGTGATTTTGGTGTCGTCACTGGTGAAGTGGATATGTTCGCTGCTTCTGCTACTGCAAGACAGACATTCACATGTTTATTGATTTATTTTGTCATGCTCAACTGCAAAAGGTAATGTCTCTTTGTACTCTGCCCTTAAAAGAGTTTTCTTAACCATATATTTTTGAAGAGGATGCAAAGTACATATGGTTTGTATCGCAGAGAAGATTTGTCCTGTAAACCACCAGCAAGTTGCTCGCTGAAAATGAGCAGCTCTGTCCTCAAGTCATGCCCTTGGGAAAAGCCCTACGCTGCCTTTCCAAGGGGAAGGGGCTTGGCACCACAGTAGCATGGGCCTGGCATGGATACCTGGGTTAGCTAACTGCTGCACAGTTTTGTTGGGCTTAGAAAGAAAAGGGATACAAATGCCACAGAGAAGTATGAATGACAAGCAGGAGTGCAGTTTATATAATACAGGTAAAGGACTGAGGGGAAAGAGACTCAGTCTAACCTTGCTGGAGCTTTTTCATTTTGTCTGTGCTGACCATGTCAAGCTTCATGTTCAGTTTTTCTGCTAGCTAGCTTTCCCAGACCCACTTTCCCTGTGTTGTCCATTCGCCCCCTCTACACTCATGTTTTTGTGGGAAAAAAGAGTCCCTGAACAGATTCTTCTCTGTGGTGTATGGAGAAGTGTAGGAAATCTTCAACAAGAGGTATAATATTTGCTTTTGAGTCATAGTCCTAAGCAGTGAATTCTGTGTCCTTTCTACTGAGGCCCGTCACAGTTTTCTGTCTTCTCCAGAGTGGCAGGAGTTGGAGGCTGAAACTCCCTAGGGCAGCAGGGATCACTTTTAGATGCTGCTGGTGCAGAAGGTGGGCAGCAGACACCACTAAGGTTTTGACAAGTTTTATGTTGGTGTATCTCATAGAGCACGGGTGGCATCCACAGCTCCCATGTGGCCCTTGCACAGGACCAAAGGAATGGACAGCCAGTCTACTGTCCAAGTGCCCAGGATGGAAATACCTTTTAAAATTGTTTTACCAGTCCAGCTTTCTTTCTGTTCTGTAATCTAATAAAAACAGGTTTTGTTCTGTAATCTAATATAAACAAGAAAATGCTACAGTCAGCTATAGAGGTGCCCTTTCATAGATGGGAAAAATGATTTTCCTTATATGCCTGTAGTAATTTAAATGTAGCATTTTGCAGCAGAACTTTTAAAACGTACTTGAACATAACTTTAAAACATACTCTCTTCCTCTATTGTCAGCTTCTTGGCGGTTCCTCGAGAAGAGCAATGCCTCCAAGAATGGCCTGGAGCTTCCCAAGAGTTATTTGCACCCCTACAAAACGTTTCATTTTCATAGGTTACTGCTGAGACTTTTCTTATAAGCATAAGTAACAGTAATGCTTTTCTTGTGAGACAAAAAGCTATCAGGCAAATTTCAGCAAAACATCTGAAGAGTTCATCTACTGTCCTGTGTTGGAGCTTTATTATATGCTCAAAATATCTGTTTTTTTTTTCTTTTTTTTTAAGCATAAAAGAACTGCAATAGAATTTGAAAAGGAGTAATTCTTGAGCTACAGTATCCGTGGCATACACTGACTTCACTTGGCTGCATCTTATTCCCCTCCATTCCTAGCACTTCAGCTGTACACATCACTATAATCCCAGCACTCTTAGCTCTGCAATAGATTCACCGGTGCCTTATCAGAAAATGCAGTCCAACTTCCAAATTTTCCTGCATCACATGCCACATTTTTTAAATGTAGCAGTGTCTTCAGCATTCAAAATAATAAAAGAGTTGATAATTAGCTCACATGTATGAAATGTAATCAGTATCAGATAGAACTTCAGACTTTTACGATCTGAGCCAGAGAGCAACTCTACATAGTATTAGTGACACCTTTATTTACATGTATACCATTATATTAACTGAGACCCAGCGATGTCAAACATTATGTAACTCTTTATTCCTTAAGCCCAGATCCTCTTCAATGCCAGCAAGAGGTTTTCTGCTGCTCTCTGCTTCACTGGTGCCATCTACCAGTTTCTCAATCTGACAGCCTCTTGAACTGTGGGTCCCAGCTCAGTCTGTTAACACCTGATCACATTTTATCCACTCCATGATAGCCTATAAATATACAGAACTTAAGTTTTTTCTTATCTGGGAGAAAACAAACAAACAAACAAACAAACAAACAACACCCCCCAACCTGCACCAATTAAAACTTTCTACACTAAGAAATCTAAATCTTTTATTCTTCTCAACAGCCTTATATTGGAAGCCCAGGCAGAGACATAGAATGTACTATGAAATGAAATGATTTACCTCATTTCTCTCAGGTAACAGAGAATTTGTATTCTTACCCTGTCTTGCTGCTGCTGTTAATGTGGTAGAGGGTGCCTTAGTATAGCTTGAGGTTTGAGTTTCTGAAAAAAACACAGAAAAAAAACACATTAGTTTGGCTGTCTATTTAGTATTATGGTATAGATAAGGCAGGCATATAAGGCAGAGAGTAGCAAGGATCTTCCTAGAAAAACAAGTCCAGAAGCAACAAAGTCATACAGCTCTGCTAGGAACTTTTTCAAGTTGTATCCTAAACATGCTAGCTATGGTCCTGCTGCTCCTAAATGGGAGCATCTTTCACAGCCTTACCTCTAGGAATAGAGGTTGGTTTCTGACATGAGATGCTTTCAGCCTCACCTTTATTCCTATACATAAAAAAGTGAGGAAAATTCACAACACGTGGACAAGGAAGCATCAGGTTGACTAATGATGGGCATTGCACATTGCCCTGGAGGCAGTGCTCCAGCTGTTGAGATTTTACTGCAGTAAATGATAGCAATCTTAAAAATCCTAGATCAAGTTAGTTGGTAAAAAAAAAAAAATCAATTTTATTTATATATATATATATATTTTTTTTTTTTTTAAAAAAGGCAAAACAATATCTTCATCCCCTGGCTATGCAGAAAATTTTTAAAAGCACGGCCCATCTAGAGTTAAGACTTCAAAGATCTTATTTTCAGCTTCATTTCTGGGGTGTCCTTTTTTTCCTGTTAATACTAGAGGTTGATGAAGGTCATGCAAGTTTGCATGAAGTCTGAAACAACTCTTGCACACAGTTATAAGACATTTGGGGAGAGAGAGATCAGTCGTGCTACTGAATGGAAGAGCAGAATAGCACAGATTAATCCCACAGTGCTTACACGTTTGTACTGTGACATCCTGCCATGCTGCATTAAAATGCCATAATATAGACACTGTAGAACTGAGTCAGGACAGGATGTCACTAGTCTGGTGTGACTCCATTCATGGTAATATCTGCTGGCATGCTCTCTTTTTCTGGCTACAGGGCAGAACAGTCAGCTTTGTTCCCTCTGCTTAGCGCGCTGCGGTCTGATTAGCATTTCACGAGCTCCATCTGAGGTGTGCCAGAGTCCCCGACCCAACCTGGGGATTCAAGGGAAAAATATGTAATACAATTTTAGGAATTCTGCAGGCACATGCCCAGGACAGGGCCTCCTCAGGTAAGCTTTACTTTACCAGGGTACGTGAATACAGTCACGCTCTGCTAAGTGCCTTGCTCTGTACATTTAAAATCTAGTTTTCCTGATATTTAGTCACCCAGTTGGAATAATGTTTGATAACCCTATACTTTGAAAAAAATATATATATCCAAACAGACCTAAAAAGCAAGTATTTGTCAGGGGCTTCCCAAACAAGAACAGTTTTCTGCCTCTTAAATCTTATTAGGAGCTCGTGACAAAGCTCCTGTAACTCCTCACGCCACAAGGCCACAGCACTAAAACAGACTGTTTGTTCAACAGTGCCTACATTTCATATGGTTTATGATAACATTTCCCAGTAACTACTATGTCTGTAACACCAGCTAAACACACTAGCTGGCCAATTACCTCGTTCCCTAACTTGTTGTGACTTTGTAAAAAGCCCACTGCAATTTTTAGAGTATTCATCTTTTAAAGATGCATTTAATATTCATGATGATAAAGCAAGACTTCTTCAAAAACTAAAAGAAAGAAAAAAAGAGAGAGAATTTAAGTCACAGTTATGATTTGGGTCATTCTGTTAATGTTAATAGCAATAGGGACAGACATAGCTAACTCCATCACGTCCCTTCAGAGGCAGCTGCATTTTGCTATGCTGTTTCGTGAATCACAGTTTGGGGATTTTATCTAGTGAAATTAAGAAAAATTGGATTAACAGAATAGAAAAAAAATGTAGTTTTATGAATGAATAGATTGCATACTTAGGAAAGCATGTAGAAGTAAGTATATTTTAAAAACAATTTGAAAGCCCTATGAAAACATGCTTACAACTAGTCAGGATTTGGAGTGGAATTGGATGGTTTATTGTGTTATTATTTGTGAAGTTAAGTTGTGACT